CTTACATTTGATCTTCTGATGTTTCGAGCGGGCTCAAAAGCGTTTCGGTTCGTACCTTGGTGTGAACCATCGAAGTCGCTCGCGAGACACAAAGTAAACCATTACTTTCGTTCAGAGCTCACGTAGAGAAGTCTGAACACCGGACTGGTACGCTATTATCGTTTGACGTCCCGAGAGATCCATTCAATAACCGCTGCGACCAAACGGTCATCACAAAATCGCATAATTTGTCCGGTTTTTGTCACCATAGATTTACTGATGCAACGGCATCCTTAATCTTTCTCTGACGGGGCTCGGAAACCCGGAATTCCTCTGCAACCGCGCTATTGGAGAGTTATAAACGCGCAGAATGGCGCTGACTCCATGCTCATCCGTCTTACGAAGAGTCACTTGGTTCTAAGACGTATCTGAAGTCGGAAGAATAGCGTTTTTGAAAATTCAAGACGAACACTCGACAAAAGTAAATGAAGCTAGAACATTCAACGATGTTCGTTCAATGCAGAGCGAAGGAGCACCAATTAGCGGCTTATTGTCGATTCGAATACCAACCTTGTTGAGTTCTGTGACAAGCCAATCTCTCCACAAAGTTACCGGCCCATGGCTTCCAATCCCAGAAAGCATTGAAAGATTTTAACGAGATGGTAACCCTCTGCCGGATTCTTAACGCTGACAGTGACTTCCTCGTAGAATAGAGAAAACCCTCCAAAGCACCCTTATACTCCTATCGAACTTCGGACCCACTAGCGAGTAATGTATACTAGGTTACGGAACACTATGTTTATCCGGAGGTTCAGCCACCGCTTCTATCTCGATAGTACCCCGGACCTTCTCCAAAACGGCAAAGGTATTCTTGAGGGTGAAACGGTATTCTTTACTCTCTTTACCTTATTGGGTCTTGTGAACGTGCATATGTGATCGATTGTACTGAACCACCTCCGAAAACCATACTTACTCGTATTACCGTCCTTCATCTAATTTTCTGCCAATCCAGTTCGGAATGAATTATGTGAAAGATTTATAGTTACAGACAGCAGACAGATTGGCCAATAGTCACCATTATTGACAATATCCTCCTTTTTATTGAAGCGATCTTGCAGGTCATTCTTCACTAGACAAACTTTGGGTTCCGACAATACCGCGTAAAGAGAAGGGAGAGAGGGCCTCGACAATAAATATTGAAATGCTCTTCAGAAGTTCTGATTTGATCTCGTGGTAACCTAGAGCCATGCAATTTTTCTTCCACATGAATGTCAAATGCTCAAGGAGAGAACTGAAGGAACGGCACATCCAACCTGTCCAAAATGGCAAGCAGTAGATTGTCCGTCGCCTCAACATAATTGTGCAAAAGATATAGACGACCTTCTGCATCGCTATTCGGGACGCAGTAACTGTTTCGTCAGCCCAACGAGAAAATGTGACTGTAGAGGCTGTGAACGGCATTGCAAATACCTCTGCCCGACATACAATTTCAGCGAAAACTTCCACTCTTCCCTCCCTTCCCGATCTTTCTTTCTATGCATAGCTCCGGAAGCTAGTTAGTTAGTAATGTAGCTAGCGTAATTCTAAACTGGCGTGTCACTTCGAGACTCTTCCAAGTGTGACGTCTCTTTGCAACTTGTGGGGTCTTGCGTTCCTAGCGCTACCAAAGAAATGCTCGACGAGTTGCAGTCCTCATCGAAATTTTCGAGAACGGAGTCTTCCCATAAGGCTGTAAGGGAAACAATGTCACATTGATAACAGTTTTGGGGCTTCGTATCCTCAATTTACAGCTCTCTTCACACGCATCAAAAAATGAAGCTAGCGGAGAGTGAATAATGATCCAGTTCCGGGCAAATCATTGTACGTAGGCTGCCTTTTATATTTCGGGATTTGAGAACAGNCATAATTTGTCCGGTTTTTGTCACCATAGATTTACTGACGTATGCAACGGCATCCTTAATCTTTCTCTGACGGGGCTCG